TCTTGCTAAGTTGTCCAAGCTGGCCTTGAACTTGTGATCCTCTTGCTTCAGCCTCCTGAAGAGGTGTGATTACAGGTATGCACCACCATGCCCAGCTGCTTTTCATTTTAACAGAACACATCACAATCTATGGTCATAACTTTTCAGTAAGAAGTACAACAACAAGACTAACACAAACTTCTTTTTTCTTCTTTGCCATTTCATGAATAGCAGATTTGTTATTACCATAGATCTTAGCAACCTCAGAACAAAGTTTTTTTTTATTTCCTTATTAAGTCAGGAACTTTTACCCCTTTTACTTAAAGGAAGTATTTTATGGCTCCTTTTTGGCATATTTTAATAGCCAGTACCACTAATCTTTCCCTTTGAGACCATTATTAAGTAAAATAAGAGTTAATTGGTTACTTGAACACAAGTATTATAACACCGTTATAGTCGACCTGAAGACTAAGATAGCTGCTGAGTGATATACCAGTGGATACACTGGACAAGGTAAGGATTCACATCCCAGGCAGGACGAGTGGGATGGCACGAGATTGCATCATCCAATTCAGAATGGAACAATTAAAATTGATGAAATGCTCAGCTCTAGAATTTTCCATATATTTTTGGATGCAGTTGGCCACAAGTGACTGAAAAAACATAAAGTAAAACCACAGATAAGAGTGAGGGGAGGGATCTATTGTATTTTACCTCTTCCAACACAGCTTCACTAGGCACATCTTACCAAGGCCCAAGTCATGAGAGGTTGGAAGGACAACGTGGTCCAACCCACTCAGTGCTCCCTGCCATAGGTAGATGTCCATATCTGGTAGTGTTTCAAGATTGAGCAGGGAGAAGCAGGGGCATGGTTTGCCATGAGTGCAGGCAGTAAGGGAGTGGATTGTCCAGAGAAGATTGAAAAGTATCTTACTTTTTTCTCATTGTTGAGCCAAAATACCCAACACCCAAAATTGAAGGGGAAAGGGTTTATTTAGCTCATAGTTTGTAGAGGCTTCAGTCCATAATTGGCTGACTCCAAGGCAGAGGGGAACATGGCAGAGGGGCAACAGTTCATGATGGCAGAAGGCAGCAAAAGCAACAAGAGGAGCCTTAATAGCATCTTTCTGCCCCTTTTATCATATCTAGACTACCAGGATTAGGGTGGTGCCAAACCAATCAGTGGACTGATTTAGTAATCACACACCCTTAATCCC